CAATTTCCCTATCCATATTCTCATTCTAGGGCCCATCCCCAGAGCTTTCAGTGTATCCAACATATACCCCCAGTCTAATCTGACAAACGCTTTCTCAGCGTCTACCGACAATAACAAAACAGGGAATTTTTCTCTTTTTTTTTTTTTTTTTTTTTTTTTTTTAATTTTTTGTATAAGCAATAACGATCTTAGTCCATTATCCCTACCCTCTCTCCCCGGGACAAACCCCACTTGATCCATGTGGATCCACTCCAGCATTAAATCCTTGATCCTATTTACTAAAAATTTTGCATATAGTTTAGTGTCTATTATTATTATATACAGGATTTATATAGTGCCAACAGTTTGCGCAGCGCTTTACAATATAAGGGAGACAGTACAATTACAATACATTTCAGTACAGAAGGAATGTGAGGGCCCTGCTCGTGGAGCTTACAATCTAAAGGATTTAGATCCCATTCCCATTTCCCTTCCCATTTTCCTCCCTTCCCATTTTCCTCCCCTCCCTTCACCTTCCCAATCCGTTGGGCTACCTTTTTTGCCTAACAATCATTTGTGGTCCTAATCCCACTTTAGATTTAACTTTAAGGTGGTGCTCCGAGCATGTACGATTCACCAGCCACCTATCCCTCTCCATGCCCCGCCATTCCCAATCTCCAGTCAAAAATCTCCAACGCCCTATCCGAGTGGAAAGGCTGTAGGCAAAGCAAAAAAGGAGGAGAGGAGGAAGAAGAAAAAAAAAAAAATCCTTTCCCTTCTCTCCTCCTACCCCTCCCTCACCCCCTTCCTCCCTCCCTACTGTCTATTCCTAACTACCTGCCAGTCCTCTTTCCCTATAGGTCCTCTTCCTCCCACCCAGGTATTTCCATTCTCTGCAAACCAAGTCTCTCATATTTTCAGGAAATCTCAGTCTTGCTGTACACCCATTTTTCCATCCAATTAAACACGCCAAGAAGCCCCATCTATTGCACCTTTTTGTTTCCTCATCTGTTCCAGCAATGGTTTCAAAGATCTCCTTCTAATCAATGTCTCTGCTGCTAAATCAGCAAAAATCTGGATATTTATTTCTCCATATTTAATAAATGTTCTTCCTTTTGATCTTCTTCCATATCTCTTCCTTATCCCCATAATTATGGAATTGTACAATTCCATCTCTTGATTTTTCTTTACTCCTTTCCTTTTGGGGGCCTTCCTATTCTATATACTCTGTCCAATTTAAGAGTCTCTGATGCAGATCTATCCATTATAGTATTCAACATTTTACCTATTATACCCGTTCGGTCTTCTCCATGTGAAATCTCTGGTACTCTTCTTATCTTTAGATTACCTCTCCTATCCCGGTTTTCTTGGTCCTCTATTTTATATAGCAACTTTCTTTGATGCAGGCCGGCTTCAAGCTCTTCCTTCAGGGTCTGTGATTCCCACAGCCCTTTTACTTATTATGCCGATGTTCTTTTAGGGGGAGATTCCCCCCCGCTGGGTCCTTTCTGTCCTCAGTCCTGTGTGGCTGGGGAACTAGCACAAGCCCTGTTCACTTGAAGGGAGAGCTGGCGGCGTCCTCCGCCTGTGAAACGCCGGCCGGCTTCTCCCCCTCCCAGTACTCCTTTGCGGCCGGATACGTGGTCCTCTCCGCTCCAAGCCGCCTGCCGGACAGGATTCACCTCCGTCCCGCTGCTGTGTTTGCCTGGAGCTCTGTCCTCCTCTTCGACAGGCTCGTCCCACGACCTCCGCACTCTGCAGCTCTCTCCAGACCCCCCTCTCACAGGTAAGTCTCCTTACTGTCTGCGGGAATCTCTCGGATATTTTTGGCAGGTCACCCGAGGCATTGGTAGCTGGTTAACAGAGAGTTCTCACATCGAGCTCTCCCTCACCGCCATGTTCAGGCTCCTCCCTCACCCTGCGTCATGATCCATTACAAATGTATATTGAACCTTGAGCTGAATACAGGCAACATGACGTACAATATTTACATTGCACCCATCCACCCTGTTTACTTAAATCCATAATCTTTTGACAAAGACCCTGTGAAGGATAGTAATTTCCTCACACACAGCCAAGACTCCTTGCTATTCGTCATATACAAACAAAAGGCAGTACTAACAAGTTTCTCATAGGTACCCATCAGATTAATGTCTGCTTTAAAAATTTGAATGTGATCGAATATATAGTAAGCAAAGAGAAAATTTCATGGCTCATATCTAGTAACTCAGATGTGCTCTTAGCATTCTGGCAACATGGGATTGCAGGAATTAGGATACGTTGAGTGAACTTTCTGATTTAATCACAGTTGCTGTTTTTTGCTGGATAATAGGTCATGGATTTATTTCGCTTTTTACCGGCAATGGGAATAACAGAGACTTCCACTGCTTACCTCTTCTGAAAATGCTAGTGGCTTACTTGTCATGGTGTCCTTCTTGCTTAGATACCTTGAGTCACTTACCCAGAAAAGGTATAGAACATAAAGCTTTGTGACTTTCTCCCAGAGTTCTGATTTGCAAAATTGTCCCAGAACAGTGACTCAAAGTATTGAAGCCAGTGGGTCAGCACAAGAGCCAGGCAACTCCATATGCAGAAGGAAGTTTAATTCTGTATTTTGCGAATGACAGGTTTGCTTTAACCACTTGCCAACCACGCTATAGCTGAATGGTGGCTACAGCACGGTTGTCCAGTCCTGGTTGGGCATCATATGAAGTCCTCGCAGAACGCGCCCTCCCTACGGACACAGCTGTTCACGTGATGTGGTAAAAGGCCAATCACAGCGGCCTTTTACCACGTAATCAGCTGTGTCCAATGACACAGCAGATCACCGGTAAATGCAGTTGCCGGTTATCGGCTGCACTTTCTTCACGCTGTCACAGCGTGAGGAAAGTACTGCAGATAACCGGCAATTGTCAGAGGACGGATTGGTACCGAACATCAGGGCACTGATTATCAGTGCCACCCACCAGTGCCGCCTATCAGTGCCCATCATTGTTGAATATCAATGCTGCCTATCCGTGCACCTCATCAATGCACATCAGTGAAGAAGAAAAATTACCTGTTTGCAAAATTGTATAATAGAAACAAAGAAAAACTTTTTTTTTTTTTTTCTAATTTTTTGCTCCTTTTTTTTTTTTTTTTTTTTTTTTTTTTGTTTATAGCGCAAAAAATAAATCACCCAGCGGCGATTAAATGCCACCAAAGGAAAGCTCTATTTGTGTGAAATTTAAAACATTTCATATGGGTACAGTGTTGGCATTCAAAATGCGACAGCGCTGAAAGCTGAAAATTGGCCTGAGCAGGAAGGGGGTATAAGTGTCCTGTAGGCTAGTGGTTAAAGTGGTTCTAAAGCTAAAACATTTTTTCACCTTAATGCATTAAGATGAAACATATTTTGCCACTTGCAAACTAGGCATAGAGAGTATCGTTTAAAAGGTCTCCACAAAATCAGACACCTAGTCAGGTTGAGTCGTGGCAGACTTGCTTGTTTTTTAAATTTTCAGTTTACTTGACTAGGGCTTCTATTCTGACACTTGTACAAAGTCTGTAGCTTTTTTGTGGAAACTGTACATAACTGAATAGTGCCAGGTCTGACAGATCAAGTTGCTGAGATATCAAACCCTGCAATGTTTTTATTGGGCCTCATTTCCAGATTTGTGAGCCCTGGCAATGATCATTATAGATAACTGCCACTGTTTCTACATTTTCACATACAATGGCAAGAAAAAAAGTATGTGAACCCCTTGGAAGTAATTGATTTTCTGCAATAGTTTACCATAAAATGTGAGCTGATCCTCAGCTAAAGTCACAACAATAGACAAACACAACGTGCTTAAAGTGGAATCTTACCCTCTCAATGAACATGGACTATTTGTAATCCTTATGCTGCTAGCAATAGTAAATAGATAGGAAAGTATATCATGTTGTCAGGGCTCCCAGGTGTGACCAGAGGTGTGTGACTGACGCAGGGAAACGCAGACTTCAGATATGTGATAAACAATATAATTTATTAACACTAACAATACAAACATAAACGCAGTGCAATACTAAACATAATACAGTGCAAACAAACCAAACCAACCACCCACAGATAACAGTACATACAAGCAAGCGTCGTCAGGCAGGCCGGGTCAATATCAATTGGGCAGGTAGGTACAGGGGGAGCAAGCGGAGATTGGTTGGGGTCACAGGCCAGGTTCAGCAGGTAGCTAGCAGCGTAGTACAGAGGGTCAGGGTCACAAGCCAGGGATCAGAACAGGTAGCAGGCAGCGTAGTACAGAGGGTCAGGCAGAGGGATGGTCAAGCCAGGGATCAGAACAGGTAGCAGGCAGCGTAGTACAGAGGGTCAGGCAGAGGGATGGTCAGACAAGCCAGGGATCAGAGCAGGGTCAGCAGAGAATCAGACAGGAACAGAGAGCAGGAACAGGATACAGGGTCCAAGAGAAACACAACACCAAGGCCGAGTCTGCAAGTCTGGCCATCCCTTAAATACCCCAGCATAATCAGTTCCAGGTGTTAGCTGGCTGAAAGGTTGAGTCTCTGATTGCTGGGAGCACCCGCTGGCCAGCCCTGGTACTGCAGATCAAAAGGCAGGTGAGTCCCACCATTGCTGGCTAGTCCATTCCTGACAGTACCCCCCCCCCCCCCCCCCCCCCCTCAAGGAGCGGCCTCAGGACGCTCCAAACAGTCCTAGCTGGGCAAAATGTTCCACCGCCCGGGTCTGGTAACTGGCGGGATATCAAAGACTGGCACACCGGGCAGGACTCCGGGCAGCGGCACACGGGCAGGACTCCGGGCAGGGGCACACCGGCCAGAGGCACATTGGGCAAAGGCACACCGGGCAGAGGCACATCGGGCTGGACTCCGGGCAGAGGCACATCGGGCAGGACTACGGGCAGAGGCACATCGGATGGACCAGGCGAAGCAGCGGGCAGGACCGGGCAGAGGCACATCGGATTACAGGCGAAGCAGCGGGCCACCGGGCGGGCAGCAGGCACCGGGCCCCCGGGCGGGGCGGCAGGCAGCGGGCCCCCGGGCGGAGCGGCAGGCAGCGGGCCCCCGGGCGGAGCGGCAGGCAGCGGGCCCCCGGGCGGGGCGACCGGCATCGGGTCCCCAGGCGGGGAGGGGCGCCGGGCCCCCAGGAGGGGCGACAGGCGTCGTGGCCCCCAGGCGGGGCGACAGGCGTCGGGCCCCCAGGCGGGGCGACAGGTCTCAGGCCCTCAGGCGGAGCAGCGGGCGCCGGACCTCCAGATGGAGCGACAGGTCTCGGGCCCTCAGGCGGAGCGGCGGGCGCTGGACCCCCAGGTGGAGCGACAGGTCTCGGGCCCTCAGGCGGAGCGGCGGGCGCCGGACCCCCAGGTGGAGCGACAGGTCTCCGGCCCCCAGGCGGAGCGACAGGTCTCGGGCCCTCAGGCGGAGCGGCGGGCGCGCCGGACCCCCAGGTGGAGCGACAGGTCTCGGGCCCCCGGGCGGAGCAACAGGTCTCGGGCCCCCAGACGAAGCGGCGGGCACCGAGTCGTCTGGCAAGACTGCGGGCACCGAGTCGTCTGGCAAGACTGCGGGCACCGAGTCGTCTGGCAAGACTGCGGGCACCGAGTCGTCTGGCAAGACTGCGGGCACCGAGTCGTCTGGCGGGACTGCGGGCACCGAGTCGTCTGGCGGGACTGCGGGCACCGAGTCGTCTGGCGGGAACAGCGGGCACCGAGTCGTCTGGCGGACAGCGGGCACCGAGTCGTCTGGCGGAACAGCGGGCACCGAGTCGTCTGGCGGAACAGCGGGCACCGAGTCGTCTGGCAAGACTGCGGGCACCATGTCGTCTGGCAAGACAGCGGGCACCGAGTCGTCTGGCGGAGACTGCGGGCACCGAGTCGTCTGGCAAGACTGCGGGCACCGAGTCGTCTGGCAAGACTGCGGGCACCGAGTCATCAGGTATCGGATTGTCTGGCTCGACAGCGGGCATCGGGTCACCAGGTATGACAGCGGGCACTGGGTCACCAGGCATCAGGTCATATGGCTTGCCAGCGGGCACCGCGTCATCTGGCAAGGCAGTGGGCACCGGGTCACCAGGTATGACAGCGGGCTCTGAGTCAATTGGCACGACAGCGGCACTGGATCAGGTACCGGATCATCTGGATCAACAGCGGGCATCGAGTCAACTGGCCTAATAGGATCGTCGGGCTGGATCAGTTCATCATGCTGAGTAGCGGCATCAGGCTGAATGCAGGCATCAGGCCGAGGAGAGGCATCAGGCCGAGGAGAGGCATCAGGCCGAGGAGAGGCATCAGGCCGAGGAGAGGCATCAGGCCGAGGAGAGGCATCAGGCTGAGTAGAGGCTTCAGGCTGAGTCATGGAAGGCAGGTTCACCGGTTTGGATACTGGCAGGATGGTATTGGTTGGAAAGAATTTTCGCTTTTTTCTGGTTTTAACTACTGGAGCACTGCAAGTAAACGCAGGTCTGCAAACGAATGGAGCAGCTGGAGACAGAGAAAAACTGGAGGATGGAACAGGAGAGGGAGCAGTTGCTACAGAGGGCTTTTTTACAGGGTTAAAGGCAGGATAGGTGCAGCGAGTGGGAACAGGGTACTGACATGCGGTAGATAGCCAAGTATACGGGGCTGTAACTGGAGGAGCTGGTGGGAATACAGGAGTAGAGTTAGAAGCAGGACTGGGTTTTTGTAAGCTGACTGAGGCTGGGTGCAACAAGTCTGTCCATGTCTGCAGTAGGGGTTGAACAAAGCTGAGCTTACACAAAGCCTGTCTGACCAAAGACTGTACTGCGTTTATACAATCTCTTAGTGTCTGTGGTGAACATGTGGAATAACGCTCCAGAAAGTAACCCACATCATCCTCTAATAACCACACCAGGGACTCTACCTGGTCTGCACTAAATGGTGGCAAAAATTCATCCCTGCATTCGGGGGAACCAGATGAAACCAACTCAGCACAAACCTCAATCAATGGCTGCACCTCAGAGAACTCTGTGCCCTGATCTACTAGAACATGAGCGAGCCGTATACATTCTAGCAGTTCATCCCGGGGATACTCCTTCAGAGTTTGATAAGCATACTCCCTGTCATCAAACACTAGCAGAGATAAATACTCAACCCATCCAGATCCATCCTTCCCAGCAACAAGCCAAGATGGCTTCCCTGTGCAGCCACTTCTGGTCAGGATTGGCCTTGGTGTAATGTCAGGGCTCCCAGGTGTGACCAGAGGTGTGTGACTGACGCAGGGAAACGCAGACTTCAGATATGTGATAAACAATATAATTTATTAACACTAACAATACAAACATAAACGCAGTGCAATACTAAACATAATACAGTGCAAACAAACCAAACCAACCACCCACAGATAACAGTACATACAAGCAAGCGTCGTCAGGCAGGCCGGGTCAATATCAATTGGGCAGGTAGGTACAGGGGGAGCAAGCGGAGATTGGTCGGGGTCACAGGCCAGGTTCAGCAGGTAGCTAGCAGCGTAGTACAGAGGGTCAGGCAGAGGGATGGTCAGGGTCACAAGCCAGGGATCAGAACAGGTAGCAGGCAGCGTAGTACAGAGGGTCAGGCAGAGGGATGGTCAGACAAGCCAGGGATCAGAGCAGGGTCAGCAGAGAATCAGACAGGAACAGGATACAGGGCCCAAGAGAAACACAACACCAAGGCCGAGTCTGCAAGTCTGGCCATCCCTTAAATACCCCAGCATAATCAGTTCCAGGTGTTAGCTGGCTGCAAAGTTGAGTCTCTGATTGCTGGGAGCACCCGCTGGCCAGCCCTGGTACTGCAGATCAAAAGGCAGGTGAGTCCCACCATTGCTGGCTAGTCCATTCCTGACACATGTTTACTTGTTTTAAACCTATTTTTTGCATACCTTCATTTGCTTCCTGGTTTCCATACCTAGGCAAATTATGTAATTCATCCCAGGATTCTTCAGGAGGAGAGGGAGGGTTCTCGGCTCAGCCAATGCCTGAGTTGAGGACAGATGGATTCCAGGAAGTAGCTGCTACATGAATCATCTGCCTTTACTCAAGATGGCCCTTGCTAGATATTCCAGGAGGTGTTTTGCAAAATAATTTCTCAGCAAAATAAAGTGTGGAGACATGGATGGGTGGAGGAGTTTGTTTTGAATATTAAAAAAATGAATTGTATGGTATTTTTAGTTTGCGGTACTTTTTATATGCAGTGCAGTTCCACTTTTTAAAGCTGATAACACACAAACAATTCTAATCCTTTATAGAATACACCCATGAAACATTCACAGTGCTGGAGTAAAAAGTAAATGAGGCCAAAGACTTATTATCTCAAGTGAAGTGAGTAGTTTGCACAACTGGAGTTCAATTAATGTAATTAGTTTGAAGGTGTGGTTTAAAGTTACTTTGATAAAAGACACTCAAACAACTTAAGTTTTCTGCTCATCAGCTGTGAATCATGCCTCACAAAAAGGAGCTCTCTGAAGACATAATGACCAAGAATACTTGATCTGCATAAGGCTGGAAAAGGGATACAAGGAAGTCTAAAGTGTCAGTCGACAGATAAATTGTCAATAAATGGACAGTTTAGTACTGTGGGTACTCCTCCTAGAAGTAGATGTCCAGCCAAGATGACTCCCAAGGTGCAACGCTGAATCCTCAATGAAGTAAATAAGAAGCCACAAAAGGCTTGAAGACGCACTGGAACTGGCAAACATCCCTGTTCATGAGTCTTCCATACATAAGTCATTGAACAGGCAGAGTGTCCATGGCAAAACACCATGGAGGAAGCCGCTCTCTTCAAAATAAAAATTGCTGCACGCCTGAAGTTTGTCACAGAGCACCTTGGAAAACCACAGAGCTACTGGGAAAATTTGGTTTTTGAGGGCTGATAAAACAAAAGTTGAACTGTTCGGGAAGAATACTCAGCCGTATATATTGCACAAAAAGGACACAGCTTACCAACATCAAAACCTCTTCCCAATGGTGAAGTATGGTGGAACATCATGATTTGGGCTGGTTTTTGCTGCCTCATGACTTGTACCATTTGCAATCATCAAAAGGAATATTAATTTCCAAGTTTACCAAAATATCCTACAGGATCATGTCAGAGTGGCTGTCAGCCGAATCTTGGTAAAAAAAAATTGGGTGATACAGCAGGACAATGACCGTAAGCATCAAAGTAAATCCACCACAGACTGCCTTCAGAAAAAGAAAATGTGCCTTTTTATAATGGCCCAGGGAGAGCCCAGAACTTAACACCATATAGATGCTGTAGAACAGGGGTGACCAACTCCATTTCATCACGGGCCATATCGGAAATTATGGTTTCCCTCAAAGGACCGGTTGTTTCTGTAAGACAATGTCAAGAATCCCACACCTCCCCTAACATCACCGTGCACCCCCTTTTGGGGGCAGAGCTGGAAAGCAGAAAGTGCAGGGTCTGGAGGAGGACCAGAGGAAGAATGGAGTCAGTTACAAGAGTCTGCTGAATTCTGAGACCAGGGGAGGCAGAGATGAGGGGGTGCTTCAGCTGCACTGAGAGGTGCAGGGTTTGGCAGAGGAATTCTATTCACCTCTCTGCTGCCAACTGCTGAGACAAGGTGGGGGCAGATACAAGGAGGTACATTGCAGGAGAGTTGCAAGGGCAACATGAAATGGCCTGGAGGGCTGGATTCAGTCCATGGGCCTTGCGTTTGACACCTGTGCTGTAGAATGAACTTGAGAGCCATTCACACCAAATTTCCTACAAGTGTGTCTGAGCTTTTTTTTTTTTTTTTTTTTTTTTTGAATAATGGTCAAAAATTCCTGTTTAATTGTTTTGCAGGTGAAAGTGTTTGCTTGAAGTTATTGCTGCCAAAGGAGGTTCAATAAGCTATTAACTACAATTCACTTACTTTTTCCTCCAGCACTGTAAATGTTTAACAACTTTGTTTATAAACGTCCTCAGACGAGAAGTGTGATATCTCGGTCATTGCTGCAGCGATGATCGAGGTATCCTCTTGTAGCTCTGCTGATTTTCTGCAAAATAAAAATAATCCAAGCCACTAATTTGCCAGTGGATTACTTTTGCATGTGGTGGAAGGGGTTCCCACCCCCTTCTCGTCACCACCGTTACCGTCTTCTCCCATGTGTTCGGGAGCCCAGCAAGGATATGTCCTGCAGCATCCAGTTCTAGGCACAGTGAGAGGAAAGGATGTCGTTCCTCCCACTGTGTGACATCATAAACTGGAAGCGCCGAGGATTTTCACTTTTCACCTGTTTCGGTACTTCATTTACGTATTGGATCCTCGATCTCTCCATAAAGAGATCCTGTAATGGCCCATGCTATTACAAGGGATGAGCAATAAAGCAATAAAGTTGATCACCAAAAAAACAGTTACAGTGCAAAAAAAATTTTTAAAGCGCTTTCCCTCGTGCTCACGCGTATATAGGACCTATACACAGCGATCACACTACACATGTGAGGTATTGCCACGAAGATCAGAGTGAGAGCAATAATTTAGCACCAGATTTTGTCTGTAACTCTAAACTGGTAACTTGCAAAGGCTTTTGAATCGTTGACCATGGAAATTATTAGGTGCCATAATTTGGGGCTGTTCCATGGGCGGACACAATTTTAAAGCGTGACATGTTTGGTATCTATTAACAGTCATCTTTTATATTTCTACGCAAACAGTATCTATTAACATCATCTTTTATATTCTACCAAACAGTTGGGTTTATATTGTGTTCTTGTGCATTAAATTCCACTAACCACTTGCTGACTGCCCAATAGCAGATGTTCTGCTACAGGGCAGCCACGCTGTGCAAAATCACGTGTGTTTTTATATATACTTGATTGTGCATTTCTGGGTAGGGGCTGCGTGCTGCGCTGTCATTGGCTCAGGAAATGTCAATCACTGGGTCCCGGTGTAAACACTGTTCTTTCCCTGTCTGCAGGAATGCGTTTTTCTATCTCTTTGCAAAGCAGTGAAACCAATTATTCTACAATTTTTATTGTGATTTATTTTTACCAAAGACATATTGCAGAATACATTTTGGTTTAAATTTCTGAAGAAATTTTATTTTTTTTTATTGGATATGTTTTTATAGCA